AAAAAAAAAAAAGGAGCAGTTGTCATAGCTAACAGCTTGTGAGTACATATTGTGTTACTTCCCTTCACAGACCCTGGGCCTGGGTGAGGAGTGGCGTGGAGGTGACGTGGCCAGAACGGTCGGTGGAGGACAGAAAGTCAGATGGCTAAAGAAAGAAATGGAGAAATATGCAGACCGGGCGGACATGGTCATCATGTTTGTGGACAGGTGAAGGGCCTGGGCGCAGGGAGGGTGGTGAGGAGGGAGTGAGGAAGCCGCTCTGCTCAGCCGCCCCTTCCTCTCCCAGCTATGACGTGATCCTGGCGGGCAGCCCCTCAGAGCTGCTGAAGAAGTTCATGCACAGTGGCAGCCGCCTGCTCTTCTCCGCAGAGAGCTTCTGCTGGCCCGAGTGGGGGCTCGCCGAGCAGTACCCTGAGGTGGGCACGGGCAAGCGCTTCCTCAACTCTGGTGGTGAGTGGCAGGGGGCCCGAGAGGATGGGGCCCGAGAGAGGTGGGACATGGGGTGTTCCCAGGTGTCAGGGGGCTGGAGAGGGAGGGGACACAGAGCTATGGGACCCTCGGAGACGGAAGTCAGCGGCACCTCCCCCTCCTCCAGGATTCATTGGCTTCGCCCCCACCATCCACCACATCGTCCGCCAGTGGAAATACAAGGACGACAGTGATGACCAGCTGTTCTACACTCAGCTGTACCTGGACCCGGGCCTGAGGGTAGGGAGGGACGGAGGAGCAGGGGGGCCTCCCCTCTGCAGTGGTGGGAGGCCTCGGGCTGGGTAGGAGGGAAGCACGCAGGGAATTTGGGGAAGCTGTAAATTGCAGAGAGCGGGCAATGAGGCCTCTGCTGCCCTCCCTTCAGTTACTGCCCCATCTCATCCCACCCAGGAAAAACTTGGCCTTGATCTGGATCATAAATCTCGGATCTTTCAGAACCTCAATGGGGCTTTGGGTAAGGAGAAAAGGCAACCACGGGTCAGGGGTATTGGGGTCCTGTGCTTGGTAGGGGCTCCTGGTGGAACTGGGGTGGTCTTCGACTCATCTTTGAGTTAACTTCATCCTACGTCAGAACACCTGATGAGGTAAGGTGCCCTGTGCTATGACAGTAACAGGAGCTCTGGTAGCATAGTGCCTAAGGCGCTTGACTGCTAACCAGAAGGCTGGTGGTTCAAACCCACCAGCCACTCCTCGGAAGGAAGGTTGG